CCCATCACTGTCGAACCTAAAGTCTCAGGCCTACAATAATACAGCGTGAAGCTGTTACTTAATTCCTCGAATCTACGCGCTGTTGTATGATTTCTAAGAGACATTAGCTCTAACTGTGCAAACTGTACAAGTCTTCTTCTAACCAGGGTTCTATACTATCTATCCAGGGTTCTATACTAGCTAGACCCCGCTGAGCTCGACTCATAAATCAAGTTTCCATTGCAGATTCTTCTGGACTCGTTCTTGAGAAAGCTGTTGTGAATTTCTTCTCAGAATGGCATAAGCGCTTTTTAGTTGTTATTGAGGATTAAAGGACGAATTCACGATTAGAATGAAGGTCGAAGAAGGAGTAATTCACCTAGTTGAGGGACCCGCGGACCTCCTGAGGGTGCGAACTGAAGCGCAATTGGCACCGAAAGAGTTGACCTCGGCGACCTATTAAGGCTCAATCTTGGCGCGGTGGCAGTGCACGCCCACCGATCATCTGATCACTCGCCGCAGGTCTATACGTGGCGAGTGATTAGATAGGTGAGAGAGCGTAGTGTTGAAGAGGGCACAGCGATGAGAGTCGCATCAATGCTCAAATCAACGGGCAAGGAAGGGGTCCCATTTCTCGGGTTCTGGGCCGTTTCTCATGGTTCTTCCTTCTTTCGTGTACCACTCACCATCCCTAGTTAATTTGAAATGGGTTGCCTTTCCAGCGTGAATTCGTCCTTTAAGTCAGCAGAGTGTAAAAGTTCCGTGATGAATGCATAGGTAAAAATTTTTTGTTACGTTTTTTATTGTCCCCCTCCCCCGCGGTATATTAGAAGCGAATAGAATCTTGCTAATATATGGCTATTCCTGAAATATCTACCTATAGGAGATAAATAGTACGTGATTTTAATGACAATGACGTCATCATGGTCTCAATTAACTCACGCAGATAACGACACTTTTATGAATTATCGCTAATAGGGCAATTCTGTCGTTGTAAATTCTATTGCGTCCCTTGACTTACTTAACATCTGCATTTTCTTGTCGTTTGACGTTGGCTATGGAGCCGGTAATTAAATTCTATAATTATATTCTTGTAATCGTCAACGTATCACATCGAATACAATTATGCAGCCCGTTTGTGGTTACATGCGTTCCCTTCCACTACGAGTGGGCGTCGCCGGAAGTAGAAAGGAATGACCAAGCGCAGGACATGATAGGAAACATCATTTAGGGTCGTCCTTATTATAATCCTTTTCTGCGTCAGAATACAAAAAGTAAATAAGCAGCTTTAGAGGCGAAAGGACTGCTTGATTCCTCATAAAGGCCATTTTAGCTTTACTTGCGAAAATACACCGTACCCTTTAAGTTCATGCAGTTCTGAGGAGTTGGTACTTTTCTCAGAATATTCATGACTATCCCTTCCAGGGAGCTGCTACGCCCTCCAGGGTGTATGTCAACAGAATCGTAAAGAGCCCCTCGCTAATGGTCGTGGTCGCGACGTCGCGATTGTAGTGGACGAGTTTCTGCGAGCGTCATTTGAATTTTATGTAAAGGACATCAAGTCGACCCATCCCTTTCTACATAGATTATCGTGGGCTCCTATCGTCAAATTCAAAAATTGCCGCGCCATCCTAAAGGTGCCGCGTTGCGACATCGCGTAGGCGCGCGCGGCGACGCCACTACCGGACGATCCTGTTGACCGCTCCCCCGCCCTTTACCACCAACAGCAGCCTTCAGAAAGCCTCAATCATCAAAAGTAATAAGGTTCGACAGGGGAAGGAGCGAAACGAACCGTTTAATTTATTCCATTTCCTTTATTTGGGGGAGACTCCAACAGTACGACATTCCTACCCCCGACCGCCATCCTACCTGTCATGGATCATGGCTGTTTCTAACAGCATTGGCTTCTGAGACCAGTCGACACAGTCGAACCTCGCCGTCTACTTTCTTCTCCAAAATGTTGAGAGGAGGACGGAGGGGGGTCAAATATGTCAATAAATTTTCCCAATCGCAAAGAACTCGTCAAAACGACCGCCCGCTCGTAACTGCGACGCCCTTAACTCCCACAAATACCTCTGCGACCTCCCGTTGGTACTTGTACCGGACGAAAGGTGCCCTGGACTCCCGAACAGGGTTTATACAGTGCGTACCAAAAGTATGTGGACACCCTAGAATCGATTCTCAGGAGTCAGCTAAAGGCTTTTTGTGTTATGAAACCTTCACCATTCAACTCCTAGTGGTCGATAACCTACAATGACATTCTCGGCAAAAGATTTCGTTCTAACTTAGCGAACTATTTTTCATGGAAAGTTTTTTCTTTGTATCAAAATTATGTGGACACCCTGAGGCAGATGAAGTTTTTGCATCGATTTCCTAACCTATTTTTACTTCTCCTTTCGTTACTTATTCTGGCATCATTCCTCTTCACGGCAAGCGTTTTTCTGAAGAAGACCAAGCACAGAAATGGGATCCCATGCTTCTGAACCTTCCTATTGCGAAAGAGCACGTCAACCAGTCATGCGTCCTCGTAGGTTTGGAGAGAAATCCGAAATCCTGATGCTAAGCTCTCGACCTTGACTGAGGGTTGTTCTCAATCGCTACTTGTTCAAAACAGCAGAGAATAGCCTTAATTTTCTCAAATTATTCTTTTCGTACTACTCAACTTTACGCATAAATGATCTTCCCGATCTTAAAAAAGACCAATCGGTGTCTCATTCAATCAATTGAGCACACGACACGAAAGAAGATGAAGAAGGCTTTGTATATGAATGCGGGTTCAGGTTGGCAAGGTTGGAATTCCCACTCAAAAAAGGATCACAACATGATACTTTGAACCCACACAGACAGTGCTTTCGTGGAAATGGTAAAATTAGTATAAAAGACTTTCTGTGGAAATTTCTCTCATAGACCAACTCGACTGGCAGAAAGAAGCTTATTCCTTCACTATTCGGGTGGGTCTTTGGTTTTTGGAGAGACTTTGGTCGGACCCGCAGATGTGCTCGAAGAGACAATTCGGAAGATGTTCATCAAAGGTCTGGGGTGGTTCCAAAAGGAGGGGGACATTGGAGTTTGGCTTGCCAACATGTTAGGTAGACATCTAGGATTATAATGAGGTGCTTGAGTCCCGGCTACAACCTTTTTCGAAAAGTCATGGTCGCAAATCACTTGTTTTGCAGGGGAGGTCCCTGACACCATTCCATTTGGAAAAATGCTAAACGCAACGGCTTTGATTGGCAAGTCGGCTAGCGTATTCCTCAGACTTCATCCTTATTGAAAACGTAGAGGTATCGTGGTTCGCGGTCTCTACGTCATTGAACAAAAGAGTAATATCACAAGTGACCTAACACGTCGGTGAAATTTGCTAGTTGGGAACAGATCTGCAAGACATGTATCCAGACCCATTCATAGCATGCCAAACAGAATGGCTCAACTTACTAGAAACTTTGGTAGGCCTACCGATTTCAGATTCTGAAGATATTGCCGTTTTTCAAAAAGTGTCCACATAATTTTGATACAAAGAAAAAACTTTCCATGAAAAATAGTTCGCTAAGTTAGAACGAAATCTTTTGCCGAAAATATCATTGTAGGTTATCGACCACTAGGAGTTGAATGGTGGAAGGTTTCATGACATAAAAGCCTTTAGCTGACCCCTGAGAATCGATTCCAGGGTGTCCACATACTTTTGGTACGCACTGTATAAAAAGCGAGCTGCAGTGTTGGGAAATGAGCGCTCAGCCTCCATCTGACATGCCAGAGATCGACTCTGACTCAACTCAGCAAGATCCACTATCCCTTATAGTTAGGGATCTGCTTGCCGGTGGTAGGCCTGATTGAGAAAAGCAGAAATATTCTCCCCATCCGTGCTGTGAAAATCAGACTCCTCATCCACATTGAACTCAGAAACGTCCGCGATTATAAAGGCATGTCGAGATGCATGGCGTATTTGTGCCCTCATAATCCTCCAATCAATAATCTTCCAATCAATATGCGTTCTATGTTAAGCAAACTTCTTTATGATTGCTCAACTTCAGTAGCTGTTTCACGTCGCTCTATTGCCTACTAGTTAGTTTTCAGAGTGCCAAACGGTATCAATTACTTGCCGTTGCTAAGCAAAGACGGAGAAAAATGCCGCGCCATTGTTTCGCAACAAAAGAACGAGAACAGCGCAGGCAATATTACGAATACAAATTAGAAAAAATATCAAAGTGTATAAAAATGATACTAATGATTGCTGTAATCGGATACCGCTACTCTTTGGATGGGTCAATATTTATCCCTGTTCTCGCGTCTCAGTATCGAAGTTTCACTCGAATATTATAACTGCAGAGGCCTAGCACCGGAGCCAACAAGCCCCACTTACCAGGAAGGTCTTTCAGGGCGTGACAAGCTTTTTGAAAACGGTCTTTTGCATGATATAGGGGCAGATGCGGGAACCACAGAACCATGTTTAATTTTTCCTGAACGGCCCTCTGAATACCAGAAAAGGAGGTCCCTAGTTCGATTCCTCGTGGTAACAAATTTTTGCATTTCGAGTTGACGTGCCAAAATTCGCGCAAAATGGAGTTAGAACCAACCAGAACAATCAGAACTCCATTTTGCGCGAATTTTGGAACGTCAACTCGAAATGCAAAAATTTGTCACCAAGAGGAATCGAACTAGGGACCCCCTTTTCTGGTATTCAGAGGGCCGTTCAGGAAAAATTAAACATGGTTCTGTGGTCCCCGCATCTGCCCCTATATCATGCAAAAGACCGTTTTCAAAAAGCTCGTCACGCCCTGAAAGACCTTCCTGGTTAGAACCCCGACATCGCCAAGCTCCGACCATTCGTGCAGCAGCGGCGATGCTTGCTACTGATCCACCAAGACCTAGTGAATTACCTGAAATCCAGTTCTTTGATTTTGAACTTCACTTCGACTACACCGGTGGTCGCCACTCTGGAGTAGAGAATGTCCTGCTCAGATGCCTGTACCTGGTTCGCTAAACACGCCGCAGATTCGAGAAAGCTGAAATTGTGTAAGTGTTATGTATTTTTCAGAGGACCTGGTTTCTGTGAAGGCTAAACTACTAGCTGAAATCTTCTCAACTCACTATTTGGCTGAATCTGTCAGCTGATACTCGCTTCGCATTTCAAATGCTTTCTTCACGCCTGGGTCGGACCTGAAAAGCAGCGCTAATGAGTCCATTCAACAGTTGCCCATGTGGTGATGGCTAGTTTAATCATCTGATCATGTCACGTGAATTACTGTGCCAAGTCATCTGTGTGTATTTATTCTTTATTTATTTATTTATTTATTTATTTATTTATTTATTTATTTATTTATTTATTTATGCGCCCCAATGACGCGCTCTTACACACTGGGTAGGTGATGCAAACACTAAATCAACATTGAATAAATACTAAATAAATAGACAAGAGGATCGGAGTCGTACCATCTAACCGCTATCATAGTGGGAAACAGCCATCGTAGAGGAAAAAGTCAATGGTAAGAAGTAATAAAGCAGAGACGGAGATAGAAGAACGCCCCTAGCCACAACAAGTGTAGAAATAAATGTGTAGAAATTTTTCTACATATAGGTAGTAATTAATAAGGGAATAATAAATAAGGTAGTAAAAAAGTAAGTAATAGGTTTTCAAACAACACCAGGATGTTTTTCAATGTGTATCCTTAGCCAGAGAGAGAGAGCGCTAAAATTACTTTCAGGTAGCGGTCAAAACCAATCCTTTTCTCCCAAACCAAACCACCTGCAAAGCAATCGCTAACTGGAGGGGAGATGTAATTATTCCTCAACGAACGAAAAATGTTCCAATGTTCTAATGTTTCTAAATGTTCTAATTTTCTTTTTTTTGGAATAAAGATATTTTTGGTATATGAATCCCCTCAGAAGAAGCCCCTAAGATGATGTTGTAATCCTTTCAGGCCTTAACCCTTACTCCATAGCCGCGATCGAAAGTCATCAAACAAACAGCAAATTGGATTCTGTTATTGCAGCTATCGCACTTGTTCATGTCCCACAGACAAACATGGGACGAACTTGCATGTTTCAACACAATTTACTTCCACAGAATTCGTAAATTGTAAGCGACAAAATTGATTCACTTGAACAACAACAGTCTGCAATATGTCGCTAAGAAGGTACAGATACCTTTAGATTGTTCCCATTCAAGTCAATTAAAGTCGTTCACCGCTCACGGTTCGAAAAAGGCAACATCTTCCAAGAGAAAGCAACGAAATTTACAGTAGCGGTCAAAAGTGTTCGCCGAAACGATTTTTAGTGCATTATTTTTTCTCGCTTGAGCAACGCCCTCCAAAGATTGATATACTATGTTTTCTAGTGTTTTTATATCCTCAAGTCTTAAAGAATCAGGATGTTCAAAAGAAAAAATTTCGAGGCCACCATTGATTTTTTTCTGGCAAAAAAAAAAAAAGCACGAAAAACCGTTTCGGCGAACACTATGTAATCACCGCTACTGTATAGCTAGAGACAGTCAATATGCATTTCGGAAAATGGCACTACTTGCCCCAATCCTCGAAACTGAGCCGGATTTATATCAAAATTTGTCCACAACAGTGGATTTGGCTAGTCCACGGGGGTAATTCGATCCGTAAAACACGAATATCACATTCGTTAGCGCGAAAATGCCTGGCGCCCGCGCCACAGATGCTGACGGTGAAAAGCGCCAGATTTTCTTGGACCACCAAATTTGCTCTGAACTTTTCGTATAAGGTAATTAGAACCGTAGAACATGAATATCACATTGATTCGTTGCCAGTGAGCCTGTAGCCTGCGCTACGGGCGCCTACGCAACTGTTGTGATAGTACCGGCGCCTGTGGCGCGGGCGCCAAGCGTTGTCGCGCTAAACCTAATGTGATATTCGTGTCCACTGGTTAAAATACCCCCGGAGACAATTTTCCTAGCCAAATTATTCAGTCACATATAAATTTCGATCAAAAA